CATTGATTCTGCTATTTCCTGTTTATTATTGTGAAGCTGTATTTCAACAGGGCACCCCATCAGTTTTATATGTATCGTTATTGCTTTTGATTTTGAGGGGCATACAAGGACATGATTGGGTAATACTAATCTAGACCAAGCTAGAGGTGCTTTAATATAAAAATAAAAAAAAAAATAAAAATCAGTTTGTTTTATCTTTTTGCTCTAGACTTTGTCATATCAGAACTACTATTTTTGTTTTGTTGTTTTTCCTCAGGACACTTTGGGTAGACCCCCTGCCAAAGAAATCCCCCTAGTTGACCACTGTGAATAAAAGCAAGACCTGTCTCATTTCTGCTTTTGCATGAGCTATAGCACAGAAACAGATCTCTGTCAGTGAACTAGCATTTAGACATTTTGTTATAGATTGTCTGTTCTCCCTATCTCTGAGATACCTTTTTAACTTTAGAGGTGTGGCTGCTAGTTTCCGCTTGAAGCATCTGTTCCTGTGTGGATCGCTGGTTTTTCACGTCGGCGAGGACTGGCTTGAGTTCTTCTACCCTCAGCTCAATCCCTGGGTTCACTACATTCCTGTCAAACAGGACTTGTCTGATCTCAGGTGACTTTAACATTTTCCTCTGGCTAGCTGATATTCACCCTTTTCTTTAACACACAATAAATAGTTCTCTAAAATGGGAACATTTGGCTTTGTTTTTTCATGCACGTGTAAGGTATTCGTTTTTGTCAGTAACACAAAGTAACACTTTTGCCAAGCTTTATCAATGGGCCAAGTAACAATGACAAAGGGTTCAAATCTAAGTTTGTGCTCAAAATAATTTGCATTTCACAAAGTATGTTACATATGTATTTCTATATCAAATGACATGACCAATACCAATCAAAGTGCCAATTTCAGTCTTGCATATATGGGAAAAGGAAATGTTAAAACTTAGGGTATATATTGTGTATGCAATCTGTGTAAAATCTTCAGCTGAAATGTTGTCATTGTTTACTCACCCTCATATTGTTCCAGACCTGTTAAAGTAATTATCATCAAACAAGTGAAATGTGTTTATAGAAATGTTAATGAGAACACCAGCAGAGAACTGCATCTAAACTGGTTTTCTTTCTGTTGTTAGAGAGCTGCTTCAGTTTGTGAAAGAAAATGATGCTGTAGCAGAAGAAATTGCTATAAGGTAGGGCTGGACGATATGGCCAAAATTGATATCACGATATATTTCTTAATTTCGGTCGATACGATATAATTCCAATATCGATATGAACACTATTTATCTGAAATAGAAATCTTTTGTAACATTATAAATGCCTTTATCATCACTTTTGATGAATTTTAATGCAGCCCTACTATAAGGTAACAAATTGTTCAGCCTTTTAATGAGTATACCCTTTATTCTAGTTTGACAGGTATAGACAGCTTTAAAGAGATAGTTAACCAAAAAACAAAAAATACATTTCTGTCATGGTTCGCTCACCCTCATGTTGTTCCAAACCTGTATGACTTTTTTCTCTGGAATATAAAAGAAGATATTTTGAAAAATGTGTTAATGGAAGTCAATGGTAAACCAAACTGTCTGGTTACCAATATTGTAGTCTCAGCTAGGCATGGGCCGGTATGAGATTTTGATGGTATGATAACCTTAAGCAAAAATATCACGGTATCACGATATTGTCGTTACAGCTCTAAAATGAGTTGTTTTTAAATGACTGGGTAAAAAAAAATAATAATAAATTTTCCCACTGAACACAATATATTTTGTTTTTGAGCAACATACAGAATATTAGGAACAGTAGAATAGCAGCCTTCTAAATGAGACACAGCTACTCTGACAGCAGGAGGTGCTTCTGGAACACCAGATACAGTGTTTCCTTGGTTACCGCTGTAAACAAAGCAGCGCTGCACTGAAACACTGCTTTAATATGAACTATACAGAGAAGAGACTAAAAGAAAATACCACATAAACTTTTCTGAAGACAGTCAGTTCCCCTCAGAAACACAAATAAATATTGAGGATTTTCTTCCAATAGTTCGTGCATCATGAACAGTGAGTGATCTGCCTGCTACAGTATTTTTCTCTGTGCGTCTGTCTTCA